ATTTTGTTCATTAATAGATCAACTTATTGATGTGCTTAATCTGTTGAAAAGATGTGGTTTCCCTCAGATAAGATGGCATGAGCTGGGACTGACACTAGGACTACACAAGAACACACTGGACGTTATTAAAAGGGACAATGACACAACTTATGAGTGTTTAACTGAATGTCTCTCCAAGTGGTTGTCCAGAGCTGATAATGTTGACAGTAAAGGAGGAGCTACCTTTGACTCACTGTCAGATGCTCTTAAATCTATGAATGAGAATGCTGCAGCTGACAAGTTAGATCAAGAGAGTAAGTTAATATTTGTGCCCATGGACATTAATATTAATTTTTAGCACTACTTTTACTTACCCTCTCTACTTAGTTACAAACATGACCTTTGCTTCTTTATGTTAATACTATGCTTTTTATCAGAGCAAGCACAGTTTATATAATAGTAGCCAAACCAAACCAGGCTAGCATTGTTGATTGTTTGGCCAATTAAACATCAATTTGCCATACTTCAAAGTCACAGAAGGGCTTACATTGAGACTTCCAATATAAACGCTAGAAACACATTTCCCGATACTAATTGTAATTTCTCCATTATAAAAACTTTATGATAAGCTTTAACCACAACCAACAAATGTATGTGATTGTGTTTTCGACCATGTTATACCAAAATGTTAATATTATATTACCTTAATAGCAATTACTATTAATAGGTTTATCACAAAAGACGCTCAAGACTTCTCCCCCAGTAGCACCTATACCACATCAACCACCACAACCTCCACTGCCAGTACCCAAACCACACCTACCATCTCTAACTGCACAACCTCCACCAACAGCACCTACATGTACCAGTAGCTACCTTCAGCCACTTTCATTCATGTCTGTTCTCCTCATAGGATCCACTGGAATGGGAAAGAGCACCTTTGGGAACTACCTTCTGGATCCTGATGATAAACACATGGTTGACAACCCAACCTTTGCTACAGCTACAGGCGATAAGCCAATGACACAAGAATTCAAAGTTGCACGTAAGAAGGTCCAAATTGAAGGTGGTAGAAATGTGTGGCTTGGAGTGATTGATACCCCGGGGTTGAATGAGAGTGCTACAAAAGATTTATCTCACATGATCGATATCATAAAGAATTTGAATGAGTGTCAAGAAATCAGAGCTTTTATTTTGGTTGTTAAATTCAATGCTAAAATTGATGCACAGTACAGGGCAACAATGGAATACTACAGTAAGCTCTTGCCAGGCCCGTTTAAAAATAATGTCCTCATTGTAATGACTGACTATGCAACAGATGAACGATCAGTGAAACAGCGAGAGAGACAGCGCATTGATGTTGAGAAAGTAAAACATAACACAATACTAGAGCTTGGCCAATGCTCCAATAACCAAATAACATATTTATCACAACTGTTCATGATCGACTGTCAGCCACTGAGTAGTTATGAGATTGAGACTAGTCTAGCTGTACGTACAGCAATCCTTAGCTACATCTTTCTATTTCCACCAATAAAAGTCAGCAACCTAATGGTGAGAAAAGCAGATTACATCAAAAAAAAAGATGACGAAAAGTACTGGGAGCTAATGGGAGAAATAGAAGGGTATAATAAAAGATTGATAACAGTACGTACAAATAGTAAGGACCTCCTTACAGATACACACATAAAAGAGATCAAAATTATCGAAAAAGAAAGTGAAATAAAAAATCTCGAGACAAAGTTACGTAACAAAAATACAACAGAAGATGTTGAGGCTGAGCATTGGTCTGTTAATGAAGAAATGAGAATGATGCAATCGATGACACAATACTTTAGCATTAAATCACCACATGAGATTACAAAATATCGTACATGGACAAATGGAGGATGTGAGTTCAAAACTGTAGTTCAAACATCTCATACAGTTAGTGGAAGAGTTGAAGGGAAATTCATGCGTGGACTTTATGCATCAATCACTCTTTACACAGAAAAGAAAATAAAATATGCTGACGAGATTGAAGAAATAAAAAGAAGAATAGCGAGGGAAAAGGCTAGCCTTACACAATGCAAAGTAGAATTGGAAGATTATAAAAAGCTATACAAAGAACTATTGAATGAAATGGAATTGCTTCAACAATATATTAATGAAAGGCGTACTAATGTTTCAAAAGCTATCTCAGATTTTATGACAGTGAAGGAAGCAGTGTTAAGACTAAAGGAGTTGGAAAGAAACTATTAACTATTTGAATATTTTTTACCTCTAATACTTATTTTTATTCTTTAATTACATGTAAAATTTAGACAATAGAATAGACATAACTGCTGCAATTGTGATGTAAGCGGCAAATTTCACACATTTAAAAACTATACACACAGTCATGGTATAACCACAAACACAGAAATTGGAGAGAGAAGGAAGCTGGCAACATGCATAGCGGCATACATTGCTTTAGTGTTTATGTAT